TGATTTTTTTTTTACATTCCCCATTTGAGGTTTGAAGAGTTTGATGTAGTACGATAAAGCCCAATTAGTAACTGTTTAAGTCTCGCTGCAAAAGTGTTACTCGAAAGCGAGAAAATTGCACCAAAAGATTTGTGCTGCTGGGTTCGCCACGCCCACAACGTAGGTAGTCTAAAAAACATAAGCCCGAAATCGGACTCGACACGAACGCGACATAACTAAATTTCGAAAATGTTTATTACAATGAAGGGTGGATTCTCGATATTTCTAAGTACTACTGAGGTTTCTAGTTTTGGGCTTATTATCTTCAGACTACGAACGCTGATGGGCGTGGCGACCTCAGCAGCATACACCTTTTGGAGCAATATTCTTGCTTCGTACCCTTTAGCATCGATACTTGGGCAATTGATTAGGGGCTTTGCTATGTGCTGCATCGAAATCGCACCAAATCGGATTTGGGCGGACGGTATTCTTACCGTTAAAAGTCAAGGAAGTATAAAAAATTCCAGGTTGATGATCAAGTATTCTGATGGAGGAAGCGCATCGCCATCAGGCACCTCCAAGATAGCTTTGCTAAAGAAAGTGTTGCACATCATCACTAGCGTTCTACATGTCGACCATGAAGTCCGAAGGCACGAATTTAACGCGATGCCTTATCACAGAATCCTGATCACGCTCTTCATCGAGCTGACCACACCTGACGGCTCGAATCTTGAGTCGATTGCATGGTCCATCATTGAAGCATTTGGACAGGTAAAATAAGCTTTATTGAACTTTTTTTTTGCATTAGAAAAGCTCCATATTTTGTTCAGAACGCTCTTTTCCTGCTGCAACCTCGCCGATGTCCAGCTTTCGCCTATGCCTGGCTAGACTTTGTTGGCCACAGAGCTGTGATTGGAGCGCTCCTTGGAGGTATAGTGTACTTTCCGTGTTTACTTAGTTCTTTATCGCTATGTCTGGTTTCTTTAGGTAATGGTTTTGCCGAAAATGTTGATCCAATGAAGACGTCCGCTATGTACACACAGTTGCTAATATGTCATCTAAAATTCCTTGCACCATTCTTGAGGAATATCCATTTGCCAAAATCGATAGCGGTGTTGTACAAGGGAACACTCAGGTGAGCAATGTTGAACCTAATTTTT